TCGTTTTATTTAGTCTACTAGTTTTAAGACAAATAACAGTGTCAAAGTTGCTTGATTTTCATACAAATTCAAACGCGCGCCCACCATTTTCTGAAATAATGACGTCACGCTGTCAAATCAGCTGTTAGCTTTGCATAACCTACTATCACTCAATCGTGCCAAATCTTTCATGATGCTCGTATGAACTATCGATAATTGTGTGTAAGCACAGGATACGAAGAAGCTGCAATTTTCCTTTCATAACGGGTAATATACGTATTCTCGTATAAGAACTATATAAAAGCAATTAAAATAAAAAGGATTGACAATATTATACAAAAAGGAAAATATGAAATGTTGCGTAACCGGTTGCTGCCACTGCTGCCACCAATTTTATTGTGCAGACGCGCCAAGGGCAACAACGCAACCAGAACAAATGCAACGAGGCAGAGCAACATTATAAGTAAACTCTTTGGTAGTCGTTTGGCAGGCACAAAAAAACACTGGTATCCCTGCCACAATACCAATGGCAATAGCAGCAGCAGCTCCTTCCAATCGGTCAGTGTGATGTTTCAGTCATCACAGTTTGGCAAGAGCAAGCTCCGCGGCTCTAGGAACAATACAAGACGAATGTCAGTGCTGAACAAACTGTTCATGACCCACATCACCGACCTGCTGGCTGCGGGCCAGGCCGCGGAGTCAATATTGGGACGCGGACTGCAGGTGTCGCGCGTGAAAATCTGCTCTGATTTCAGCTGCATCAATGTCTATTGGCTGGGCAGCGATATTTCGCTGGAAGCGGATCTACAACGCTGCAGCGGGCAGCTTCGCCACGAGCTCTCTCAGCTGCGGCTTATGGGTGAGGTGCCGCGCATCAAATTCGTGCGCGACAAAAGTGGAAGCAACATCAATAATGTGGAGGGGATTCTGCGTTCACTCAATTTAAGCAAGCCAGTTAAATATAAATTTGATGGCCAGGGCAAGCACGTGGAGCAACAGCTACAACACAACTTCGATGTCGCCCAGACAATGCGTCAAGAGTTTTATGGTAATGCTGCAACGCTGTCGCCTACATCGGAGCTTTCTGAGATGCGACATGATGTGCTCGGCCTGGATTATCGCCTCATCATGGACAAGATTCTGGTTAAAATGCGCAAATCAAAGAGTGCTTGGGAGCAGCATAAACTAATAGATCGACATCAGCTAATCCCGGAGCTGGTATGCATGCATCATAAAATAGCTAAGGTTGAGGCCAACGTGGTTACTTTCAAGAGCAACCAGTTTTCAGAATTTCTAGCCAAGCGACGAGAACGCAAGCAAACGCCTGAGCGCAAGAAGCATCAACGGGAATTAGAGGATTACGTAGCCGAAACAACAACGGACGAAGATGATTTACAGGCGCTAACGCCAGATCAGCGCCAAAGATATACCCAGAGCGATTACATTCTTGAAGACCACAAATACTACTGCAGTTCCTAGACCTCAATTTAGGTTGTTTCACACTGTTTTTTTAGTATACTCCATTGAAAAACTGGTATAATGTTTTCGTTAAAATGAATGTAATATAATATGAATGTAATAAAATAATATAACCTTGTCCATCTGCCTGTCAATATAAAAACGTCAGTCTCAGAACCTATAAGGGCTTAGCACAAGCAGTTCAAAATTTGTCTGAATTACTTTAAATGATTCATTTAGCTGCTAATATATCCAATTATTATTAAATAACTAGCTGATAACTTCTTTGAAGAATTTTGAGTGACACAGAAGTATATGACTAACTACTGTGGTATGTGCCTAAATCATTAAAATCAGAATTATAGAAAATAAGTGTTGGAAAACATTTTAAGCAATAACAAGTAAGAAACCTCTAGTCGAGAGTGCCCGACTACGAGATCCCCTGAACCCATCGAGCAATAGCTGTTTCAATCATTTTTCTTTCTTCATTTTCAGATTATCATCACTTTCAGATTATGATTATATCATGGATATGCATGTATTTGTCAAAGCACAAGTTTCTAGTATTTGAAATACTCCTTTTACAAATGTGATGGTGAGGGGGTGAATTAGAGGTGGGGGGTGAATTTTTACAAAAATTGAAATTGTATAAATTGCATATAAGCATACATCAAAAGTTTATAGACTCTAGCAATAAAGGTGCAGAAGATATAATTTTATAACTGGTTTTCGATAAGGTTTTTTAGCGATAAAAAAGATCGGGATGAGTTAATGTTAAACTTGATATCCGCGCTGTAAATTCAAACATTTAAAAAAAAATTTGAAGTCTCTAGCTCTTATATCTTCTGAAATCGACGCGTTCATACATACGGACAGACGGACGGACGGACAGGCCCAAATCGACTCAGCTCGTCGCCCTGAT